CAATATCCTGTGAATTATAGCTATGAACAGAAGAGAGACCATTCCAATTTCTCCCAGCTCATGTTACAGGAGAACATTCAACAAGTTGCTAAATTATAATTTTTATATGTTAGGTAGTGATAAGTAAAACAATGAAAGAACTACAAATTCTACTTTAAATAAGATGGTTAAAGATGGCCTTTCCCCTATCCAAATTCTAGCCCTGCATTGCTGGAGCATGCCTTTAATCCCAGCACTCAGGACGCAGAGGCTGGTGGATCTCTGTGAGCTCTAGGCCAGCCTAATCTACCAATCGAGTTCCAGGACAGGCTCCCAAACAATACAGAGGAAAAAAAAAAAAAAAACAAACCAAAAAGACGGCCTTACTGAGAAAATAGCATATAGTTAGAAATGAAGGAAGTAAGAGAATGCAGGCTCAAAGACTGTGCCTGGAGCACACAAGCCTTCAAGATAAGATTCTAAACAGGAACCAGCAGCAGAAACTAAGTTCCAGAAAGAACAGAGTGAAAGGAAGTAAACAAATATAAAGACAACTCTGTCAAGTAACTACTGTAACAAAAAGTGAGGAAACTACCTGGAGATGCTTGTTTGCTTGTTTGCTTACTTAATACAGAAGTGTGTGCATTGAAGATTAGGGTAGAAGTTAAACAATGGCCTTATATACTCTCCTTCTTGTATACTCTTTTACATGGTAACTCAGTAGCTTTTCCTTGAGTGCGGATTGGCTTAGTGAGTGTCTCTGGTATTAGAATGCAGAAGAAGTGATGGTAAGATGTAAGAATGTACCTTCAGAGCTCTTATACTAGCCAGAGGTCACCATGTAACAAAATCCTAAATGGGCTGATTCAGTATCCACAAAGAGTTAAGTTGAGGCACCCCACACAAACCAATGCAGAAAGGAGGACCCCTCAAAAAGTAGAAAGAAGATCTAGAGACAAAGTAATCTGTTTTGCCACTGGAGGGATGAGATTTAAAAGTGTTTTGGGTGGCTTGGGATGTTCACCCATGTTTGATTGGTCAACTTAAACAAAAAAGGGGAGCTAATAGGCTGTCAGCTTCAGGTACACATGTTCATGAATGGCTTTATCATATCTGACCAGTCTGGACCAGTCAGCCAGAAGGAAGTCTCTGCTGGCCTTTGTCCCAGATCAGAAAGGTGAGGAAGAAGCCAGAAATTTGCCATATTTATTATCTGTCATGAGTCCTTTCCTTACCTATTTGCCTGCCAAGGATCAGTCGAGCCTCTAGTCCCTCAGAGTAACTTACGGCAAAGCACATAGTGAGTTCTACAATTAACTACCAAACATTGCTCTTTACATGTTCCTCTCTCATCTAATACGTACATCTTTACTATATACAAATGTCACAGTGAAACTAGGCTGTACATGTAAATATATACATGTAGATTGGGACCTGGTCTACCCTCTTGAAATGATATGAATGTTACTTCATGTGGGTTGGGGAAAGAAAGAAATAGCAATACCCAAGCTAAAAGACAAGGGCCAAAGTCCTTCTGACCCTGACTGGATATTCTGGGAAAATGGGCATGAGACTCGAGGGCAAAGGCTCATAGAAAGAATATATATTTGTGATACCCAAATATAGGCATGCCGTAGAAGTCTTTGGAGGGAGTGCTACATTTTTCAAAAAAAGATGGAAGTTTACTTAGACAACATTTACTACCCCTTTACTAGTTCCCACATGAGAATGCATGACAGCTATAGGTTATTTAGTCAAGAAGATCTGGGTAGTGAGTTGCTAGGAAATAAAAAAAGCTGACCCCTGCCTGAAATGGAGAGCCATGGTTGGTGATGTTAATTGGCTAAGTTGTCCACATGGTATGCCAAGATTGAACACATACACACAACTGACTCTTATGAACCACAACAAGCATCTGGCATCACCCTGGGCCTGGGTACTTCTTATAATGTCTGCCCAGACACTTCACAAATGAACAAGCTACAGGACACTACTATTAGAAGATTCCAGGTTCGAGGGCTATGCATGAGCACTGTGAAAGGGCCCTGGGGCAGACTTCTGCAAGCAGCTATTCACAGGCCTGGGAGAGTCAATGACAACATGGGCCTTCTGTTTCTCCTCCACCCATGGCCAGGGTCAGGTCTTCTTAGCAGCAGTGTACCCTGGAACTGTTGCCACCTGACAATTTAGGGAGAACAGACAGAGCTGGGGCACCTCAGCAGGCAGATAGCTGCTGAACATGGCACCTGACAGTGTTGAACTCAACCTGCCTTCACCTTGGCTAGGATGCCAAGGATATGGGCTCCCAAAGACCACCTAACCCCAGATGATATTGCTCCCCAACTTTCACTGACTCTGTTGTAAAGCTGCCATCCTAGCTAGAAGTCCTGATTGCCAAGCTGAGTGTCTTTCCTCTTCAGCACCATCAAGAGCAGCTGAAAGGAAAAAGCTCTGCCTCAATCATCCCTGACTGCCACTTTCTCCAGGGAGCACTGACAGTGAAGACAAGAAGGAAGAATCACAGAGACAGAGCTGACAGGAAATGAAGGCCATCCCTTGTCACTTCAGCAGAAGTTTCCCCCTTCCTGCCATGTGCCTTAATGTCCAAAGACCACCGTTCAGGTGTGGATTTTGTAATCAGGAAGCATTCACTAAGGACCCCAGAAGGGAGAGAAGTAGAAGTCCAGGATGATCACAGGACTAATGGAGAGGGTGAAGCATGCTTTACTGATAGATGTTTGGGTCAAATACTAAAACTCTGGTTAGTGACAACATACTGAAGTGTTTGCTTATTTTCCATCTGTTTAGGTTTTATATCACGTTTCCCACTCCTGCATATTTCAAGGATACAGGAGACATTTCAATACATGTGCAAAGTGTGCAATGGTCAGCCAGAGTCATGGATGTCTCTGGATACCTGGATACCTCAACACTCCTCTTTAGCTAATTTGAAATATTAAAGTATGTGTTATTGGCCATAGTCATCTTACTGTGCTATAGAGCATGAGAATAGCCCTGCTGCTGTCCTGATACCTGTCCTCTCTCCACCCTTCTCCCAAACTCTCCTCAGGCTCTGTAAACACAACTTGAATTTCTCATTCTGTGAGACCAGTTTTCTGGAGTTTTTATAGCATGTTTCATATGGAAGAACTGTCATTGACAATCGAGAAACCAAAAACAATCTATGTTACCCCTGAAGAAACCTTAGTAGGAAGAGAAGGAATGCAGACATTGTGGTCAGGATGTCTGGAAATGACAGGCTCTAGAGCAGGACCACTGCATGACAGCCAGGTCCCTTGTATTTACTGTCTAGGGATGAAGGTACATTTTTTTTAACATGGGCTGCATAGCATCTTTGCAAGGTATATATTCATTACTCTCCCCCACTCCAGATTAGGAACTTAGGCTCAAAGAAACAGGTTAATACATCCAAGGACACACCACTAACATGTTATAACAAAGCCCTTACTCTCCCTTTTTGGAGAGTAGCTTAAAAAGCTGACTGGAAAGAATTCAAAAGGTGTACAATCATGCATGGTGTGGAAGAAGTTCTACAGTGACAAGCAATCTATTGGGTCTTTTGTTTATCTCGAGGAAATCCTGGATAAATAATAATAATAATAATAATAATAATAATAATAATAATAATAATAATAATAATAATAATAATAATAATAATAATAATAATAATAATAATAATAATAATAATAATAATAATAATAATAATAATAATAATAATAATAATAATAATAATAATAATAATAATAATAATAATAATAATAATAATAATAATAATAACAATAATAATAACAACAACAACTCTGAACTCATTTCATCAGAATCCTGTCTTCCATGTAGCTCCTATGAGGCATCACCTTTTGGATCCAGGCATCTCCTCCTCCCTGAGCCCATTTTTCATTTCTGTCTCCATGTCATGGCCTCCTTCTAGCCTTCTCATGGTGCTCACAGAGGTCTACTGAGTTAACTGTAAAGTTACCTATACCACATAAAAGCCATGTGATATGGATCAACTTAAGCCAAACAATCAGCCTGATACCTTTAGTCTCAGCCTATAATATGATAGGTTGTTGTACTAAGAATTCTTTGTCTCTGCTATAATAGAGTCAGAGAGGGAGGATTTCTTCATTATGCAACACTCATGGCCCTGTCTGCCAAATGACAGTTATAGACTCAGTTTTTAAGGCAACAATAATGGAAGGAAGGTAGGAGGTGATAAAGAAAGGGGGAAGGGAGGAGGGAAGAAAGGAAGGAAGGAAGGAAAGAAGGAAGGAAGGAAGGAAGGAAGGAAGGAAGGAAGGAAGGAAGGAAGGAAGGAAGGAAGGAAAACCTTTTCAAGTGCTGACAAGGCCAGCCATCACCCTTCTCATTCAGAACCTTTATAGAATGAAATCCATGAATTTGTTCAGGTTTACTCTTTGCCAAGACTATGTCTCGTCCTAGAGCCTTTGTAGAGACTCCAGGAGCAGAGCCAGAACTTTGATTTGAACTAGGAAAGTCCAACAGTTGCAGAGCTGGGTTTGAGCGTCCTGTGTTTCAATCCAGCTCTCATTATCACCATTCTGTGTCCTGGGGTTCAGTGCACCCCTGAGTCATCACCTATAAAATGAGAATAATGTGGAACCTCAGGAGGTTTTGAAAACTAAGTCAGATGTCTAAGCCCTTGAACTTAGACTTAGGAATCCTTAGTTTGCACAGTATGATAATGTCCCTGTTTGTGTTATCCTTATATATACCCACAGATGAAATCATTGAGTAAATTATTTACACACTTGTTTGTTAGGTGACTCTCCTAGATTACTGGGTTAATGTGGGCAGAAAGGACATGGGCATCCCTTTCCACCATTTCAACTTCAAGTTTAGATAGATTCTAGGTACTACTAATTAGTTCAGTTGGTTGAAGAAATGTAACCATTTTCTTGTCTTTGTTTCCCAGAGCCCTATGCATTTGATAGCAAAGTAAATACAGAGGCCATTTCCCCTGACCTGTAGAAGAGTTTACAATGGAGATTTCAGGCATCACAGAGTCCTACTACAGCACAGTCACCAAGAATGATTTCTTTCCTGGAATGTTGTGTTTGAGCATGGATGTGCGGCCATTTGGAGTCACAGTGCTGACCCCCCTGTACTCCCTGGTGTTCATCATTGGAGTGACAGGCAATGTCCTGGTGGTTCTGGTGCTCCTGCAGCACAAGAGGCTTCGAAGCATGACCAGCATCTACCTATTCAACTTGGCCATCTCTGATCTGGTCTTCCTCTTCACATTACCTTTCTGGATTGACTATATAATAAAAGGAGACTGGGCTTTTGGTGATGGTATGTGTAAGTTCATTTCTGGGTTTTATTACCTGGGCTTGTACAGTGGCATGTTTTTCATCACCCTGCTTACAATTGATAGGTACCTAGCCGTTGTCCATGCTGTGTTTGCCCTGCGAGCCCGGACTGTCACTTTTGGCATCATCACCAGCATCATAACCTGGGTCCTGGCCAGCCTGGCTTCCATTCCTTGTCTGTATTTTTTCAAGGCCCAGTTGGAGTTCACTTACCATAACTGCAGAGCAGCTTTACCCAAAGAGAGTCTGAAACATTTTTTGAGGTTTCAGGCTCTAACAATGAACCTCCTTGGACTAATTTTACCTCTCTTGGCCATGATCATCTGCTATACAAGGATCATCAGTGTTCTACACAGAAGACCCAATAAGAAGAAGGCCAAAGCTATGCGTCTGATTTTTGTTGTCACCCTTCTCTTCTTCCTCCTCTGGACCCCCTACTATCTGGCTGCATTTGTTTCTGCTTTTGAAGATTTCCTATTCTCAGGCAGGTGTGACAGAAGCCGACAGTTGGACCTGGCCTTGATGGTGACTGAGGCCATTGCCTACACCCACTGCTGTGTCAACCCAGTCATTTATGTCTTTGTGGGTGAGAGGTTCCGGAAGTACCTCAGGCAGCTGTTTCAGAGGCTTGCAATTATACCCCTGGCAAAATGGCTGCCCTTCCTTTATGTGGACCGAACACAGAGGGCCAATACCATGTCTCTATCCACAGGAGAAAATGAGCTCTCTGCTGGCTTATAATTCAGACCCCTGAATGCCAACAAAGATCCAGGAGAGAGTCAAAAGACAGAGTGACTCTCCAAAACAGATACTGTCTGAGGATTCATTGTCTGGTAGATCAGCTGGACCTTGCAGGTAGCTTAGCTATATGTCAATTCTTTAATGTTGGCCATGATTGTCTTCCTGTCAGAAAGAAGATGTATGAACAAATTGTGATATTCCAAAGACTGGGTCAATAGGTTCCAAGGAAAGGCTTAAGCTCAACAAGAGGTAGGGGTTGCGCTCATTAGGATTGTCAAATAAAGCAAACCCTATTCCCAATGATTGTTGAACCAGTTAAGTCTCCAACTGTGTGTACTTTGCACCTTGAAGTCAATAGCAGTTCACAGTTACCTCCTCCACTGCACCACCTCTTCAGGGCCTGAACTCTTGAAAACCTTGGAATTCAAGGTTGCGTTTGAGATCTATTGAGGTATGGCTTCATCATTTGGCTAGAAAAATCACTAGACAGAAATTTACATTTGTTAAAACCAAAGACTTATGGCAAGTAAATAGGGAAGGACATTTACCCTCCCTATTATATTCTTCTCCCTAAGGGAAGAAGCCTCTTGGTATATAATATAGCAAAATATAATTAATATAATATATGTACTGTATATTAGTCTTTATGTTACCTTTTCTAATCCTGAAGGTCCTATGTATCTAGTCTAGAAAAATACTTCCTAGTGCTTTGTCTTTGCTTAACAGCATGATCAATATGTGTGGTGTGAGAAACACTCAGGAATTATTTTACCATGTTTGACCTTGGAACTTGGTTCACCCAGTGGTTCCATTTTCAGTAGCTGTTACCTGCTTTCTCCAGGAGACCTCACTTAATTTGATAACTCCATTTACCACTCTTATCCCATGATGGAAAAAAGAATTTTATTTTGCAATGTTTTATTCATCACAAATGACTTCTATCAACGTATTACTTCATTGACCTTACACTATGTTGAATAGAAATCCCCAATTTTTGGGGGGGGAACGGTGCTTATTTGATTGGTTTTGGGTTTTGGAGAGGGGTCTTCTTTATTTGTTTGGTTTGTTGTTTAGTTTGGGTTTTCAAGACAGGGTTTCTCTAGATAGCCTTAGCTGCCCTGAACATGCTCAGTAGAATATGAGTTTGCTGGCTTTGAACTCATAGAGATCCATCTGCCTCTGTCTCTCCAGTATTGGGATTAAAGAAGTGCACCACCATTGCCCAGCTAGAAATCCCTAATTTTGATGTAATAAATTTCATCTTTTTTTTAAAAAAATTGCCTCTGCTATTTAAATATTGTTTAAAGTTTTCATGGGCCCATCTTTTCTAATTTGTCTTATATTTTCTTCTGTCACTACAATATTTCTTTTTAGATGTTTAATCTGACATGTAACTGTGACATGCTACTCAACTTCTCAGAAATTAATTATTCCAGTCTTTGAAGTGTAGATGATAATGGCATTTGTCTGATGGGGTTGTCATGAAGAATAACTGACAGTGTACACAAAGTGCCCATGTGAGTATAGTATCATGTAAATGACTGTATATTTAAAATAAACATATGTAGTTAAAATATTTTTGTAAGTCATGGAGTATCTGAAGATGCAGCAAAAAACAGATGATTCTAATAATTGAAGCTTCAGAAATACCAACCAGAAAAAAATAATTTTACTTTTTCATAATTAGAAGGCAGTGTCAACAGGAGCATTAAAAAGTCTTGGCATAGGCTGATTTTGTTTGTTCTCTGTAGAGTTTCATGCAGTGCATGGATTTGGTCTTTGCAGCTCTGCATCTTCTAAAATTGCCCAATATTTGTTTTTAGTCTTTTCACTTCCCATTCTCACTTTCTAGAGTAAGAGCTAATGTCTAAAAGAACTGGTAGACTGTTGTTCTGTGCCACATCTGGATGCTGTCTTCATAAAAGCATTGCTCCAGATGCTCCCTGTCCCCTGCCATACCTCCATAATAGGAACCCATCAAGCATCACCTTGACACACCAGCCATCTTGCCCACCTGGAGCAGCTTAGTCCCTCCATTTCCATGGGCAAATATAACTTTGCCCTGTATATTAGTGACTTTTATCATCACTATGACAGAATAGTCCCCCACCCCTATCCCCACCCCACAAAAAAAAAGAAACTTAAGGAAGGGTGCATTTGGTTCACAGTTTGAATTCACAGTGCTTCATGATAAGTGTGAGAGTTGCCTGGTCATAATGCATTCAAATAAGAAGCAGATAGAAAAATGCTAGTGTTCCAACTGCCTTCTCCTTTATATTTAGCCCAGAACCACAGTCCATAGAATTGTTCAACCCATATTCAGGATGGGCTTTCCCACCTCAGGTAAACCTCTTTGGAATGACTTCATAAAAATGTACAGAACTTTGTATTTAAGGTAACCTAAATTTCATCATGGTGGAAAGATTAGACAGCACAAATATACCCCTTATCAAATTGACAACTTTGGGCTCTAGAGTCTCATATTCAACTCATAATACACAGGGTAATTTCCATATCCAGAAGTCTCCAGCATCTTAACGAATACAAAATTGTTCAAAACTGTAAATGCAGTCTCTCTTATATGTCTCAGTCTATCTCTTACCTGGAAGCCCCTGTAAAATAAAAAATGTGAGTTATAACTCTTGTATGAAAAACAATACTTTTATTACATATAGAGATACAATTTATATATTAAATTATACTATAATATGCAGGTGGAGTTTTTTGTCAGAACTGTTTTCTCCTCAATAAGCACACAGAGACATTATTAGTTATAAATGCTCAGCTGATAGCTTTGGCTTGTTACTAACTAACTCTTACAACTTAAATTAGCCCATATTTCTTATCTACACTCTACTACGTTGTGGTACCTTTTTTCAGCTTGGCATGATCATTTTGCTCCTCTGCATTTCTCACTGATGATCCACAAGTTCTGCCTAACCTTTTCCTGCCTAACCATTGGCCAGTCAGCTCTTTATTAAACCAATGAGAGTAACAAATATTCAGAGTATATAAAAATATTGCTCCACAGCAATAATAGAAAGTTTTGATATGGTTTTAATAGAAGAAAAGGGGGAAATTTTGGATTACAAAATCATTCCCCAGGACATACTTTTTAATCACTTTTTTGAAATTGGTTGTTGCATTGTCCAATATACAACAGCACAAAGTCAACATTCCAGTTCCATAAGTTAGAAAGGGAGAATAAGGAGAGAAGACCAGTCCAAAGCAAGATGAAAATCCAAAAGGGAAAACATAAACACTGCTGCTCCACACCTGGCACCTGAGATGCATGATAGAATAATCTGGTCTCCAACAGTCTCAGAAAACCCCAGTCCTATAACTCCCAGGTTGCCTCCACTCTATGCCTACAGTTTTCCTCAGTGCACATCCCACAGTCCTGACTTTGCCTCCTTTCTGAGGTCTTCACTGAAACTCAGAATTGACTTTCACAGTTTCATGTATAAGGACTTCTTAAGGCCTCCTTTCAGGAAATCTGATCCTTTCACATATTACCTGGACTTACAAACCTATGTTCTCTCTGGGTTTCCACAATTACAAGCATCCAGGCACACACAGACTCTGCTTCTTTGGGGATGAACTGTGTGATGACAGTTTTATAGATATGAATCTGAATCACGAAGATGAGGCAGTCTAGGAACACAAGAAAATCCAAGGGAATGTGGGAAGGAAAAGGGGCCCTTCACTACTATGGGCCAAGATTCAGGAAAATCTTATAAACATTATTTTGAACTATGTTTAGAAATCACCTTAGGATTTCATTACTAAAAGAAAGTTCCTGAGGTGGTGAGATAGTTTCATGGGTAAAAGCACTTGCTGCACAAACTTGAGTTAGATTCCATAACTCATGGCAGAAGGATAGAACAAACTCCTGGAAGTTGTTCTTACACATGTTGTGGCATGTGCACACCACTCCCACATAAACACATAATATAAATATACACTAAAGAATAGTTTTTAAAACTTTATAAGGAGAAAGTTTCTTTTTCCCACTTTAATACTGAAACATTTTTGAATAATATTTTACATCCCCTAAACAATGTAACTCTAAGGAGGGATGTGGAGGATATAAGGGAACAGAAAGGTTGAGTCAGGGGAAGAATAGAAGATAACAAGAATGGAGATACCATAGTAGAGGGAGACATTTTAGGTTTACAGAGAAATCAGGCACTAGGGAAATGTCTGGAGATCTACAAAGATGATACCAACTAACAATCTAAGCAACAGAGGAGAGGCCACCTTAAATGCCCTCCCCTGATAATGAGATTGATGACTGATTTATATGGCATCCTATAGCCTTCATCCAGCAGCTGGTGGAAGTAGAAGCAGACACCCACAGCTAAACCTTGAACTGAACTGGAATCCAGATGCAGAGAAGGACGAGTGAAGAGCAAAGGGATCCAGACCAGGCTGGTGAAACCCACAGAAACAGCTGACCTGAACATTGGGGAACTCTTGCTCCCCAGACTGATAGGGGTTACCAGCATGGGGCTGATCCAGACCCCAAGAACATGGATTTCAGTGAGGAAACCTCGGAGATCTATGGGACCTCCTGTAGTAGTTCAGTACTTATCCCTATTATAGGTGTGGACTTTGGGAGCCCATTCCACATAGAGGAATACTCCCTGAGCCAAGACACACGGGGGTGGGCCTAGGTCCTATCCCAAAGGATATGATAGACTCTGATGACACCCTATGGAAGGCCTCACCTCCAGGGGGAGCAGAAAGGATATGTAAATACCCTTGAATTAATTGGTACAGGAGACCACTTCCTGAACATTACACATGTAAAACAATCTTGTTTCTAATTCAAATAAAAAATCTGCAAAGAAAAAACAAACAAACAATGTAACTCTAATAGCCACCCCAATCCTATAAACAGCTATTGTCAAAACACTTACTGGGTTGAGGGTGTAACTCTTTTGAGTACTTGCCTAGTACATACAATGCCTTTGGTATGATCCCTAGCACCACAGAAC